GTATGGAACCCTAGCTACCAAATCCATTCTGACAAGTTAGAGTCGGTTCAAAAACAATTTTTACTTTTCGCCTTAGCGCATTTCCAATGGGATGCTAGAGTAAGTCTACCTCCATACACTAGTCGTTTAAAACTTATTAATCTACACTTTCTAGTCGTAGGGAAATGCTTGGCATAACATTCTTAGTGAAACTTTTGAATGGAACTGTTTGCACTTCTTTTCTCCTGTCTGAAATTAAATTTAATATCCCGGTTCGCCTTTCGAGGCAGTTTAGACCTTTACTGCTAAAATCCTGTAGATCAAATTTTGAACTAAACGAGCCATTCCGCCGTGTATGTCATGATTTTAATTCTCATTCCAGCACATTTGACTTATCTGACTCACTTTTCAAAATTAAAAAGACTTTATTGTTTTCTCTTAATAAATGAAAATGTAACAATTTATTATATTGTAACTTTAGATCTTAGCTGTTGAAATTTTGGTTTCTGTAGCTGAGCAGTTTTAGATCTCAATACTTAAAAAACTCTCTTGCCTTTTCTGACTCGGCTAATTCCGCACGTATGCGGATTGCGCCCCTCGCGTCGGTTGGGCGGGAGGAGGGTAATCGTTGGGTTCTTATTATTAAAAAAACAAATCCAGATAAGAGTATAATACTGGCTGTCTTCGATTCGCCAAGCGTTATGCTTCAAACAGTCACCGGCTGTATCAAACCATATCCAACCAAATTTGTCAAAAATTATGCCCGTAGTTCTCTTTTGTTTTCATTTCACCAATGTTGCCATTGTTCTATTTGCTTACACGATTTTTCACACATTTAGTTTTTTAGTTATAATTTTTCATAATGTAAAAGCTGAAAATTAAATCCAACTATAAAAATAGTTTGCCTATTTATAAATAAATATATTCGCCTATGATTTTAAATTATATTAAGAATACTTCAAATATATGCAAGTTTATTTTTTGATTACTACAATATATCGAGACTGACAGCCCTGCGTTGCAAGAAATTGCTCTCTCACTCTCAGCTCACTCGTTTCTACGGGAAAAATCCAATTTTCGCGGATTACCTACCGTACGGTCTGTAGAAGCGGTGGGGAGTGTTCAGTTACAATGCGCTCTCATAAGATAGGTCATATCAGCTGATTCGGTCCACGGTTTTACGTCGGTGACTGTTTGAAATATTACTCTCCAACGAATCAAACGGGCAACACTTGTGTTGCAACCCTGATTCTTTCTTAGTGCAGAAATTATTTTTTTCGCTTTTTCATTTTACGATACATTTTTTTGAAGAAATTTGTCATGGGTCTAAGGAAATGGTGCAATCTCCGAAGAAATTGTCAGATCGAGTCACTATCAGAGAACGTAAATGAATAGAGAAGGAGCAAATGTTAACTGAAATCTTTTTGAGTACTAATTTGTAATTCCACATGAGGGAACATCGAAAAACATAACTTCGAAAAAGAAAAATACACCACACAATATGCGAAATGCTATAAATAGACACAACGAATATTCCTATATGAAAAATCGTTGCGCATACCTATTTAGATTTATGTTTTCAATTTCCTTAAATATGACAAATTTATAATTATGAAAAGCCTTCTGAATTAAAAATCTGTATTATCGGTAAAAACCCCAGAATTCATAATAAAATAAACATTTAATAGGCAATTTTTCCAACTTTTGTATGTGCGTTGCGTGAGTAATTGCTTATTGAACAAAGGATAACAATAAAACGGTGGCTAAGCGGCCGCGTTTCCACTTTTGTGGTGGCTTAGATCGTAAGCGCGAAGGAGTTAAGCTCATTCCGAATACGAGCATGTAAGTTCGAATCCTAAAATTGAAATTTTATTTAATTTTTTTATTTTATTAATTGGAGTCTAAGCATATCATAATTCAATTTTTTTAATAGCATATTTTACTTCCTGATATAATTAAAATATATCAGGAAAATATAATATGTTCATATGTTTAGGTTTATTGAATATTTCCTTATTATGCGTATTTACACAAATGTGATAATCACACATACATTCTTAAATACACGTACGCTGATGCTTGCTTCTTCTTGCCACGCACAACAATGACTTTTGTACACACTTTTTGCTTTTTGCGAGTTGAACGATCGTAGGCAAGGAGGGGTGGGGCGCACCGCCACATAATTATTTCAGATAGTTTTTATTAATCGAATTTATTTTAAAAACGATTATAAGTATGAATTTATGTGTATTTATATTTTTATGTTTATTATTATTATATTTCGAAAAAAAGTCATAAATGCGTCAGTATTTTTCAATACTCATTAAGCAACATATTAATATAATATGAGCCCTCACTTGACACACCTCTGTGTATGGTGGCAAGCCAACGAAATAACGGCGAGTTCACGCGGACATTGTGTTGTTGAAAACAACCAAATGACGACTTTGTCCACAAACATACATATATACATATGAGTTCGCATACATATTGACGCCGAATTTTGCGCATCGTCGCGGAGTTGACAAAATTTGTTTGAGTCGACAATTTTGCGACAATGTCGGTCGGCTATGTTGTCTTGTTTGTCCTTTTTGCAGTGGTTTGCTATTGAAAGTTGACTTATGCTCTTTTGAAATATTGCGATTACCGATTGCGCTGCATTTTCATTGCGTCGTTTGTAGATAAAATGGGCTAAATCGACAAACTATGAAATAATGATAATAAGTAAACATATAAAAGTACTATATGCAGTGTGCATAGAATATATAGAAGTAGTTAAAGATTTCTTATGAATGGCAATTTTATATAAATTTTTTAATTTAATGCCATATATAGTGCATAATATGCAAAAATATAAATATTATTTAAACTCGCTAATGGGTCATGTTGCCAATTCTCCTTTCTGAAGGGAACATCAGACAAATTATTCAATTTCTGATTTTTAGCAAATGTTGTGAGGAAGCAGCTTGTGGGCAACATACAAATGCGAGGGGAATGGTAGGATCAATTGTAAAATTGAAACGTCTTCAATTTTACTGAAGACATTCAAATTCAATTCCATTCATTTTTTTTCGCGCATTTGCAGTAGGAATTCTATATGAAAACCAAAGTTATGAACGAGCGCACTTTGCTTTAAAGCAGACGCACGTTCCTTATGAATGAATTTGTTGTCGTAGTAATATGAAATACTTAGAAAATATGCCGCGAGTTCGCTTGAATATTATTGGCCGATGATGGTGCGTCTACGTTTTTTTTGTCACTTGCGCGAGTGTTTGATTTTTTGCGAAAGACATATTGAGGGACATACATATGTACATATGTGTACATATATGCAAATATATTTGGACATGCGAATGAAGGAAGGCAATTTCAAGAATATTAACATATAGACATATGAACATTGAAGCAAGTAAACAACAATAGCTGTTTGAGTTCACAGATTGGACAAAGTAGGCTGAGTGCTGTTTGTGGTGCTGCTTGTATAGCAGACTTCTTTATTGCAACGTGAAATATTTTGCCTAAGTTCAAATCCTATCATATTTTTATATAGCCTTTTTTTATTTTTATAACCCTTGTTTATTAAGTAATATTTGAATTCTATTTTAGTATTATTTCCCTCATTATTTATATTTTCTTGTCGGAAGTCAATTACTTTCATTTTTATTATTTCAATTTTTGTTTATGCGCATATCAAAGAACATCTGTGCATATGCATTCTCTACTAAAACATTATGTATGTAATTGATAACTTGATGGCGCTAAACAGGTGATATCCGTTTACAAAGTATTTAATAACTGAAAAATAGATGGCGTTGGCAATTGTTTCACAATTAGTGACTAAAAAATAGACATGTATTGAAAAACAGATGGCGCTAATAGTTTGTTTTACGTGTACTTAAAGTAGCTTCAAAAATAGATAGCGCTAAACAACTTATTTCTTTTCTCATCATATAACTAAATGAAACATTAAAACGAGATGACGCTGTAGTATCTTCATTCTACAAAGCCTGGTGGATTACTTGGCTTATTTAGATCGAATATCTAATTACCAATTCATTTTCGTTCAACTAAATTTGTTTTGTTTATCTCCAATGATTGAGATAATTATATTTTAGTGAAAACACCATAAATAAAGTAATTAATCAGATGGCGATAAATCACATTTGCACAGAAATACCATCATTTTTGTTAAATATTTATTAAACATACATAAATATATGATGAAGCATATCTGTATTTAAAATACAAATTCAAAACAAACTTCACTGTGACTTTGTATACATCAAATCTTATTATAAAGCCACTAGATATTCATAAATGTTATTCAAATAACTTTAGCCAAATGGTGCAATTGCTTCTAAACAAACATCCACTAAGCAAACTTTCTTTGTTTCTCGTCGGAGGATATAGGCCCATTCGCATATAACTTTCCTCGATTTGCATGACAGTTCATACTGAAGGAACGAAGCGCTGAAAACAAAGGGTATGCCACAAGGAAGGCTGTGCTCTCAGTGCTTCTCTCTAATAAAAACTGCGACTGTTGCCAAAGCGTAAAAAGTTGAGTTGCTCAACATTTTGCTCGGCTCCGCGTCGAAAATGTTTTTTGTACACGTACAATATACAAAATCGTATATCGACCTCTTCTGTCAAAACAAATAGCTAACGCAAAGCGAAGCGAAAGTTCTAAGTGAATTGGCCATAAGTGACGAGAAAGAGCTACGGGTGAAAGCTGGCAGTAAATATGATTTAATTTTAACTTTATTGTACAATTTATTGTGTACTACTGTTGAATTTGTAGTAAAAATATGTATGAGTTATATAGTCAAACATCTTAAAAGTGAGAATTGCTCCTTTAAAAATTAAATTTATTGAACATTTGCGTAAATTGGCAACCACGTTATTTTTGTAATAAACAAGTGCAAAAATAACGGTTTATATACAAGTATTTTAATTTAAATATTTCTTGGTCGTTTGTGCTTAATTCAAATAATTATCTTTAGATAAGCAAAATGTGAAAATGGAAACAAATTATAATATAAGTAGGTAATAGGTAATAATTATAATATAAGTAGGTATTTGGAATAAACTTACGATTTAACAGATTTGTTAAAAAAAAAAAAATTTTTAAATAGTCCCGGGATGGACATTATTTTGCATAAACTTAAAATCTAAAAGCAATAAAACAGTAATGTTGTATAATTTGATAAGTTTGTGTTGCCACATTTTTCACTATAAAAGTACGACTGCTACTTGATCATTATACACTAGTATATCCGTGTAGAATTCTAATGCGTTGTCGGCCGCGATGATAAAATAGCATTGAGAATGAAAGACGAAACAAAGCGAATTGTAAATAAATAAGAAATCATTAAGAAAAAATATAAAAAGAACTAAACAAAAACCTAAAATAATACTTCTCCCATTACCTCTCAGAATCCTAACTCATGATAAAGCCAATTCTCCCTTCGCAAGCACACATAAAGATTCGTATAACAAAGTTTTATATGCATCCATCCTGATTGTGAAATATCAAGAGATTATTGAAAATTAATTTTGGGGTTTAATAAGAACTAATTATTTCTGTGTACATGTAGTGTAATATTAATAAATATATGAATATTTCTAAGCAAAACATGGTCAAACTTATTGTAAACTTTAAATTATGCTTATCATTATTTTTATCATTATTTATTTGGTGTTTTGAATTTGATTTTTTAAAATAACATGGCAACACTCGCAATATCTCTCATATGGACATCTCTGTTTTACTTGCGGATAGCAGGGCCATTGAGTAGAGCCGCCATTTTGTTAATGTGTGCGCGAACATGGTCGTGGCATTACAATGATAGTTGCGATAGTGGTCAGATAAATAATATCAAATATGTGTTAAATTCTTGTATTATGAATGTGCGATATTATTGTCAATAATATTACAAAATAATATAATTACAAATGTTACAGAAATATGAAATTGTGAAAAATATTGTAAGCTTTTGTCTCGCTCTGTTAATATTTCGGTTCGATTTTCTCTCGGGTGAGTTCGTATGCGTGAGTGCATTTCTAATTCGTCGTGATTTTTCGCAGCTCGTTACAATGTACAATGTTAAAGTTTTGTATGATACATTTTGTATAAAAGTTTATTCAAGTTGGTGCATATTTTTATAAATAAAAACATTTCTCCGATATTAACGCATATTTTAATGTGTATAAATTGTCTAAATATGGGGTAATTGTTTGTATAAATCACAATTAAATATTCGCTGCAACTCGCTGAATTATTCTCATACGATTCAGAAGCGGTGTAACTGTATATGTTCAACGAGTATAATGTGCATAGAAATTCGCTTTATTATTGTACTCGCTATTAACTTATTTATGTCAAAATCGAAAAAGCTAGATAGTGAAATTGAAATGTGACAAAATATTAAAATACGTTAGAAGAGTGCGACTATAATTATTGTTTGCGTGTGAATGTTGCACAGGCATAATCGTTGCATATTACTCATATACTGTCTCTTTTAGCCATCGGGCTACATTCTTCATCAACCGAGTACAGACGAAGTTTGTATCAATTTCCTACACTTGCTTTTCGATAAAAAGTGATGCCAATACTTTCTGTGTAACAGGGAATTCTTGTTGTGTAAAGTTAGGAGCGTGTGTAAAATAAATGAAATTATGTGTTTTAGTTTTACGGCAGTGTTTTGAAAATTTTTGCTTTGCGAAAAAGTAAATAATTTGTGTGTAAACATAGAATGGGCAATAAAAGCTTTTGTTCATATAATGTAAAATGTTTATATAAAAATCCCTCTATAACTTTAGTTGGGACCAATTGATTTGTGTATACATCACTTTACTCGCGGTGTTCGCTGACTCTCGCAAATCGCACTCGACTCTTTTAATTTTAGTCTTTCTTCCTAGTTCTGTCGTTACTCGTTCGCGAAATCAGTTGAGTTTTTGCTGGTGCGGAGCAAACGGACTGAATATTTGTTATAATATTGCGAAAAGATTTTAAAAAATTGTCAAAAATTGAAAAAAAATTCAAAAAGTAATTGAGTGAAATTCAAAATAATAAAAAATTATGAACTTAAATTGAAAATAAATTGCGCGGACAAAAGCAATGTTTTTAATAAATATCTGAAGTGAGAAAATGATGCAAAATTTTTTTGAAATTTAATTAAAATTTTTCTATAATTTCGTATATTTTTGTAAAATTTGTTGAATTTTTCTTAAAATAAAATTGAATAAAACAAAAAATCTGCAAATAGAAATTTTCGATACGACGTGAAAACTAGCGACAAAAAATTTCAGTCATTGCTTGTCTGTTTTTCTTTCTTTTTCTAATACTGCTCACACTCGTTGCTTGAGGTGGTCGTCTTGCAAGTGTAGTAGTATAAGCAACACACTCAAACTTTGCGTTTCGTATACCGCAACGGGAGCGATTTGTTCGGCTTGTGGTAGCAGGGCTCTGACGAGCAAGCACAGTCTTGTAAAACAAAAGTCCGTCAGTAGAAAAGTAACGAGTAGTGAAGAAAGAATCAAACGAGTTATATAGGCAAAATCAACGAATTTTTGGAAATAAGTTTGTTCTTGTCGCGCACTAAAATGGCAACAACTCTGGCTATCTGACCAAAGAGTGAAACAAAAATTATATGCATACGGTCTCACTAGTCTCAAATTAGTGGCCGCATATACGAAAGAATGACACGAATGTATTAGCGGGCGGTCGGTTGATATAAAATAAGAACGATTCGAAGAGAAAATTAATGATATTTGCCATTTGTGATCATTGTGGCTTGACAAATTTAAAGGAATTTGTTAATCAACATCACTGCCATTTATTTACTCCTGAAACGTATATAAATTTTTAATAAATAGGAAAACTTATAATGACAATCTTTATGAGAAATATGGAAGAGCTAACAATGTTGTCAAGTAACTTACTTTTCTCTCAATTGGTACGCAAACTTATAGGACAATTTTATTTTTAAACAATTGTGGCATTAAAAGGAAAACACAAAATCAATAAGATTCCGAAATGGAAAAAATCGTAATAATTTTTTCTATTCCTTTTACAGTTGATGTGCAATTAAATATCGCTATATTCTTGGAGTTTTTTATTGCATTGCAAAAAAGGCGCAAAAACCTTGCCAACAAAAGCAATGTTTGATTCAAAAGATGTTGGTGGTGATAAACGTCGGCGTTTAAAAATGTTGTTCCAACAAACAGTGGTAAAGCAGGAATGTGTCAAGTGCCAATAAACGATTGAAAATATAAAATGATCTTAACTTTTATTCACTTACACTTACAATTTGTTTCAAAAACTCTTAAAGAACAATTATCTTACACTGAAGAAACTAAGAGGTATATTACGAAGCGGAATAAATAACCGAAACCACTCGGTCCACATTTATAACTTCTAACACAAAATGCACTCAATCGCTGTCGGCAACAACGCTTTAACTCAGTTGAAACATTTTTTAATTGTGCGAAAGCGATTTCAAAGAGTGCAACCTCATATAAACAAACTTCAAACTTGGAAAGTTTTGACCTTTTCTGCTAATGTCAACACAGCCGCTGCAGCTCAAGTAAAAGCATCAGTGTCGAGTGATCGTGTTTTTAAAGTTAATAAACCATTTCCGGAAAGCAATTTTTTTCCTTCCGCCGATTGAATTAAAACTTTCAAATTTTTTAATTTTTATATAATTTCGTCGTTATTAAGATATTCAGAATAAACTTTGATATTGCACTTCAAAGTTTCTGATTTTAAAACAAACAACAAAATCATAAATTATCAAGTGATATCGGCGTAAAGTTGTACGAGTTTACGCATATTTAATACCAAAATAGAGATCATAACAAAGAAGTCTCAATGATGGCTGATCATATGGATGAACCACCGCAGAAGCGGACTAAAATGGATCCAAGTAAGTAAAATAATCTTTAATTAAGATACTGATATATATGAATAGAATTTAAACTTCTGTTTTTAATTATTTTTAGCGGATTACGTTTCAGTTTTAGAAGATGATTTACCGGATGAATTAGTTACTGGTAATAGTAATTGGCCAGACCCTCTTGGCGGTGGCGGTGGGCCAGCAGGTTCAGGCGCAGGTCTTGGTGTCAATGTAGTCGGTGGAACCAACAAACCCCCTGCACAAGGTCCTGGCCCAGGTGGACCACAAATGAATGGCGCGAGCGATGATAACACAGGCGGAAACCAAGGTGGTCCCGGCAATCCATTACGTCAAATGCAACATCATCAACATCTGCAACAGTTATTGCAACAACAAGTAAGTTCACAAGATACATATATCGATTAGTTTATAAGATTGTATCAGTGAAAAATATACTTGCTTATATGAATATACGCTGGAAACCGGAAACTCGTATACACTCTATATCTTCAAATTTAAAATTCCTAATATTTTAATATTTATTTTGAAAAAAGTACGCATAATAACATATATTTTTTTGAAGGGTTATGTACATGGTAATTATTAGAATATTTTTTTTCAATTTATAGGGTAATAAAAATACAGGAATGATCGGTAACCCAATGGGCACAGCTGGTATGAATCAGTTAGGAAGTAAATCGCCTAACTTGCAGTCACCAAACGCAGCAGGCATGCAAGTAGTTGGTGGTCAAATGGGTATGGTTAACTCAATGTCAATGTCGATTTCCAACAACGGAACTGGAATGAATACAATGCCTGGTATGTAATATCATAAGACATACGGAAATTAATTTTCCATTTTAGTTTATAGCATATGTAGTTTTGCTCTGCAATATGTTGCGTTGTTTAACGGATTGAATACCATAATAGTTTTCCTAAATATATTGTATACTTGTTTATGGTTTATATGTATTTAATACATATACAATTTTGTATAATATTTTCTACTCCACAGGCATGAACACGATTGCTCAAGGGAATATAGGTGGTATGGTGATTACCAATAGCAATTTGGGTGGTTTGGGTGGCGGTGCAGGTATGGTAAATACATTAAAACAACAAATAGGTGCAGGTGCCGGAGGTATAATGAATGCTGGACCTGGTGGAGTGGGACCCGTTGGAAATATGGGTCCTGTTGGTGGAGCGAATCAGGGCATGCATTTAGGTGGCGGGCCTGGTCATCCGCAGAGTTTACAAAATGGTCCGATGATGGGTAGAATGGTTGGCCAACATCTGCTTCGTGGCCCCAATCCCCATTTAATGTCTGGCAACGGGCCTGGCGTTGGTCCAGGCGGTGGTCCGCGAATGCAGAATCCAAATATGCAAATGGGTATGTATTTTATTGACTTCCTTACATTTCATAATGTCAAAAACATACAGCGCACAGTGATTCGACCCGCGTTAATTAAAGCTGCGAATATAGGTTTATTCTTTTATTAAACAGGGTACTCTATTCTATATTGTCATTCCTTTAGAAATTTCTTGTGAAGTTCTATATTAATTTTTTATAGCTCCTAAGAGTAACTCCTTCAATGAGATTTTTATGAGAATATTGGTTAAATTTTATAATTTATGTAAAACTGTCAGTGAGAGCGTAGTAAAGAAGAAATTTTGTACGAATACTTACCGAATTAAAGATAATGTGCAATCCTATAAGTTCCTATTTGCTAGCAGCTTAATAGCTTTTCGCAGCATCTAAACGCTACAAAATTAAAATCATTCATCAAATTACCTAAACAACACACATATGTTAAAAATTCTCCAGTATCGTATTCCTTAACAATATTTATTTTGTCCCTCGTTTGTATGGGATCAAATCACTGTGTAGCTCAACGAACAGATGTGTTAAACGGTAATCTTACATACGGTGGTCCAGGTCAAATGGCAAATATGGTTGGTGGTAATGTAGCTGTCGGACCAAATGGACCCTATGGAAATGCGGTGGGAGGTGTTGGAAATTATGGTGGTCCTGGTGGACCCCAGGGTGGACTTAATGTAAATCCGAATAATCCACAACAGCAACTTTTGGCGCAGCAAATGGCACCACGCGGCGGTGTTCACCCTATGCAACACGGCAACCGACCTGGTGTACCCATTGGAATGGCTGGTGTTGGTAATGATGGAACACTTCAGGGTCTGGTGGGTGGTCCGCAACAACAACAGCCACAATCAATGGGTCCAAACCAACCACAAAGTGCGCAAGGTGGTGTCATGGGAGGACCTCGACCGCCGCAACCTGTTGGCCCACGCCAAAATCAAATCATTCATCAGCAGCACCAGCAACCACTTCAACTTCCTGCTACCGCCCAACTTCCTGGTGGTGGTACTGCTGGCGGAAGTAGCGGTGGAAGCACAGGCAGTGGATCTAGTGGTGGCGGTCAACACCTTTCTGAAGAGAGGAAAAAGCACATACAACAACAATTGGTGCTCCTCTTGCATGCGCATAAGTGCAATCGGCGAGAATCTCTGAACCCTAACCGTGAAAAATGCATAGTTCCCTATTGTAAATCTATGCAAGATGTGCTGGCGCATATGGCGAACTGTAAACAGAGCAAAGAATGCAGCGTTCAGCATTGCACCTCGTCTCGCCAAATTTTGTTGCATTATAAGACTTGCACACGTTCGGATTGTATTATTTGTTTTCCTTTTCGCCAGCAACAGAGTTTCCACAATAACGCAAGTGGAGCTAATGCGAATACAAACACTAACCAGCCGTTACAGGGTATTGTAAAACAGCAACAGCCGACAGATGGAACTTCCGTAGGGGGTGGTGGTCCGCAAAATTCTGGGATACCACCGCAGAATACTGGTGGATCGAATATTATTGCTGGAACCGGTGGTCAAGTTGGAATGACAGGTGGTCCAAATCAACAACTAGGCATGAAGTCTAATGTGGACATGTCTCAACAAATGCAACCACACAACACACAGAACCAAAATCAGGAAATTCGACGGTTTGATAGTTTGGGAATGCAAGGAGCAGTTTCCAACACCGGACCTGGAGCTAACATGCTGCAAAATAATGCAGTCAATACACAACAACTACAAGACATTCGTATGCCGGGAGGCGGACCGGCTGTGCGAGTATTGTCAGCTCAGGTTGGTGCACCCGGAGGTGGCATTGGAGGTGGCGGACCAAATTCAAATACAATCATGGCCAATAATATGATGATTGGTGGAGCTGGAGGACCAGATAACGGCATGCAACAGCAAACCCAAAATGTTCAACAACATGTGCTTTTACAGAGCGGAAGTAGCGGCGGTCATAACAACCCACAATTAGCTGGTTTAATCGGCGGTTCCAACACCAACAATACTGGTCAAAATCAACAAAATGCTGGACCACAATCACAGCAACCAAACATTCCTCTATCAGTTAACGTTCATAATATTAATAACAATTCGGCTTTTAATAATGCACAGTTAGGTGCTAATAACGCTGGAAACTCCGCTGACATGGGGGGAACTGCGGGAAATGGACCACCACCTAACAAGCAGAGGAAAATGCTGCCGTATAATGTCCAGATTAGGCATGATAATTCAACTGCAGTAAGTGGCGCAGCTGGAGGAGTCGCTGGCGGTAATAACAATTCTGGTACACCGGGTGGTGCTGGTGCAGCAACTGTAAATTCTAGTAGCTTGGTGGGAGCTCAAAGTAATAACTCATCCAGTGGGGGTGCAACCACTTCACAGGGCGGTAATGGCAGCGCAAGCAATAGTGCTGTTACTGAAGAAAGAGACTGGCGTGAATCGGTGACTGCTGATCTACGAAAACACCTTGTCCATAAACTTGTGCAAGCGATATTCCCAACGTCGGATCCTACAACCATGGCTGATAAACGTATGGCCAATTTGGTTTCTTACGCTGAAAAAGTTGAGAAAGATATGTATGAGGCAGCCAAGTCTCGATCGGAATATTACCATCTACTGGCTGAAAAAATCTACAAGATACAAAAGGAGTTAGAAGAAAAACGCATCAAACGAAAAGAACAGCAAATGTTAATAATGCAACAACAGCAAGGATCCGGTGGAGGAGCAGGTTCCGGTGCCGGGCAAGGACCAAGCCCAAGTAATGCAGTGCCAGTTGGTCAACAACTTCGTCCTGGACATCCCCAACCGCTAATAAGGCCAATAGGTGTCAGTGGAGGCCAAGGTATGCCGTTAGGTGTTGCTGGAATGATGCAACCAGTTATGCCAGGACAAGCCCCCGTTGGTAATGTGGGTATGTTGCCTGGACAAGCAGGTCAAAATATGGTAGGAATACGTGGTCACTCTCCCGGAGGAAATTTGCTAGCTTTGCATCAACAGCAACCCAATCATAGATTGCAGTTTCCACCACAGCATCAAGGCAATTTATTGGTTGGTCCGCCAGGACCTAGTCCAAACAGTGGCATGGGGGTAATGCCAACATCTACATCACAAAGTATTGTCGTACCAAGTCCGGTGTTATCTCCCTACGGTGTTCAAGTAATTCCAGCTAGTCAAGTAAGCGCCGGTGGTGTGTTGACAAGTCCTGTTTCAGGACAACAACAACAATTTATCACGGCCAATGGCGGCAATAGTTCACAATCTGCGCAACAACTTTCCGAAATTATGAAGCAAAGGCTTTTGCAAGCACAGCAGCACCAGACTAATATGTTGCCACAATCTCCATTTAATAATCCTGCTTCTCATATGCAACAACAACAGCAACAACCACAACAACAGCCTCAGCAGCAACAACCACAAAATCCTTTTCCTTCGCCAATGTCACAACAACAGCAGCAACCGAAACAAAATGTGGGCTCAGTGGGAAACATGCCACCGACTCCTACTAGTCTTGAGTCATTAGTCGGTGGGAATTCGGTAGGTGCGAATAGCACAACTGGCGTCCCCTCAACAGGTGTCATGGTAGCCGCGCCTAGTCCCTCGCCCAATTTCGTCTCGAATGGTCCAATAGGAACACCTTCCAACAATCCACCATCAGTAACTTCGCTTATGCAGCCCCTGAGCGAACGAGCAAGCAGTACTCCTCCCATTATGGCACCGTCCCCGGCATCGGCATCATCTGGAACGACCCTATCGGTGAATGCTAGTACAGCGTCCAGTAACGTAGGTGTGCCAATGAGCAGTACTGGAACTACAATGACGACAACTGCGTCATCTTCCAATACTCAGTTGTCAGCGAAACCGAATGCCATTAATACAAATAATAATGGTCCTATTCTGGCACAGAAACAACAGCAGCAACAACATCTATCGATGGGTAAAGGTGGCAACAGCAATAGTAGTAATAGTGTCAATGTAGCGGCCACAACTACTACTACATCGACTGTGATGAGTTCACGTCCTACATCAATCAGTAATCTTTCATCACAAATGGCGGCGCTTGAAGCAGCTGCTCGTGATAATGATGAAACTCCACCCTCACCAAGTGCCGATTCCGGTGGTGAAAGCGGTAACGCTTCCAAAGGCAAATTGGATTCCATTAAGCAAGAAGATGAAATTAAGAAAGAGTACATGGAAGATGGAAGCGGTGGTGCTGGAGATAATTCTCAAATGGACACACAATCTTCGGCCGGTGTAGGTAAAAATGTTAATAATGACGGTACCAACATGAAAGTGGAAATCAAGACTGAAGACGGAGATGGCATTATAAAAAGTGAACCAATGGACACTGACGACAAGAACGCCGCAAATGGTGTTGGCGGAATGGGGAATGCTGGGACTTCGGACTGTAAAAATGATGGAAAGACATCAGCTGACGGTGATACTAAAGTCAAGTCAGAAACAAAACCTGTAGTACCAGAACCACTAATGCCTAATGCTGGCGATAAGAAAAAGAAATGCGGTGAGTTATATAACATTATAATCTAATCGGTGTATAATAGGTATATGTACGAACTTTATTTCAGTATTCAATCCAGAGGAGCTAAAACAGGCACTGTTACCAACACTAGATAAGTTGATGCGTCATGAACCAGAATCAGCACCATTCCGTTGTCCCGTAGATCCTCAAATACTTGGTATACCAGATTATTTTGATATTGTGAAGAAACCCATGGACTTGGGCACCATTCGCAACAATCTGATGAATGGCAAATATAATGATCCGTGGGAGTATGTCGATGATGTGTGGCTAATGTTTGATAACGCTTGGCTATATAATCGTAAAACTTCACGTGTTTATCGATACTGCACAAAGGTAATTTTATATTAAAAAAAACTAGAATATGTTAATATAACTAATTTTACGTGTTTTAAACATGTTATAGTTATCTGAAGTATTTGAGCAAGAAATCGATCCAGTAATGCAAGCTCTTGGCTACTGCTGTGGTCGAAAATATACATTCAATCCTCAAGTGCTATGTTGCTTTGGAAAGCAATTGTGTACAATACCACGGGACGCCAAGTATTACAGTTACCAAAATAGGTATGTAAACTCTTTTAATAATTTTCTTTTATAGAGATACCTCTTGTCAAAATAATTATTGTGATATTATTTAATTGGTTTAAGTGGGCATACAATTCCTTGTCTTGTAACAAATGTACATATATTGAGAGAGAAAAACAAACATGAAAAACTTTCTAGAGAATCTTGGAAATTTTAATATTACTAAATAATTTAATTTTTTACTTGGTGTAAAAGTATTTCTGAATAGCTAAATAATTTTTAATGGATATAAAAATTGAACACCCAACTTTGATGAAATAATAATAAAACAATATCTATTTTAAATTGTATTTTTATTTCGCCTTGTAAAACAATACAAGTATAAATTTTGCTTGCATGAACATAACGATTAAGTTTTGAGCTATTACATTATTTTATTTTCACATGGAATGTAAAATAGTATTTTAAATAAACAGCAATTCAAACTCAAGCTTGTATGAACCACCTTTTAAAACAAACAAGGTATCTGAAATATTGGAGCAACATCTTTTTGTAGTCTATAATAATTAAGTTGCATCCTATTTTGTTGAAGTAAGGTATTTAAAATCGCGGTTTTCTGTATATAAATTTGCTACTGCATTCCGTATTGTAATTTTATGTTTTCTTCAATCATATCACAATATTACAACTTTTCGATTTCTTTATAATTTAATTAACACATGTATCGATTCGAATTAATCGCACAAGATGCATTAACTCATTACACGCTTAAGTAACTAAATTTTTGGTAATGTATGGTAAAATTAGTACTTTGAGGTTTACAAACGTTTTGTGAATACTTAATAAAATATTAAACATTTCATGAAATTTTAATTCTTGAAATTATTCTTCACTTACTACGTATCTTGTTACTAAGGACGTCTTAATAGTACTATTTCAAATATATACCTATTTTATATGAAATGAATTCAAAATGTGAGGTCACTCATACTGAAATAAATAAAATAATTTTTATTGCTGCTTTTTTAATTAAATAATCGTAGATCTAACATGTCTGAATATCCCCATTAAAGATTTTACTTAGCAAAAACTCAAAATATACAATAAATTAAAACAATTAAAAGTTGTGTATAATGTATATTTCAAAATGTGTGCGTTATTGAAATTTTACACAAAAGGATTTTTTTCGGTTCTCTTTTTTTTTTTTTTTTGTTTTGTTGATTTTTCGTTAACTTCTCGAAATACATCTAAAATTAATACATATCAAATATTTTTGAAGATACCACTTTTCTTCAAATAACAGTCAAACAATTAAATAATTTAGTTGAATACGCTCAATTGACCACAAAGCTTGCTAAATATATAGACATTGGTTACAAATTCGAATGCGAATTAATTAACGAATTTAATAATAATACATCAAGACCTCGTTTTGCGTCGTAGATAAGTTCCAAAATATCGCGACTCAAATAGAAACAACGCAAAGTGAATAGCTATTTCCTATTGGAAATCATATAAACATCAAAGATCTGCTATTATATTGTCCAAAGTTTGCGGAACAGCGTGTTGTTTTTATATTGAGGTAAAGTAAATTTTTGCACTTCTTCATTGCTTCAGAAATTTGCTTTGAAATCCATTTGCATTAATTCCTCGTTATACATTTCTTGGTTATAAAAAGCTAGCAATTCTTCAAAATTAGACTCTCCTGCTAAGTTGGCAAATTCATGCCAAATAGTATCTGCTTCATCAACCTGAAATTCTGAAGAAGAGCTTTTTCTTTTTTTGTTGTTGACTATTTGTAATCAACCTTCCACAGCAACTATGCTTTTAATAATGATTGTAAAATCTTTGCACTTCAATCAAGAATCAAATAACAATCGGATAAAAACTTAATTTTGGAACTCCCCGAAACCCAAATAAAATTTAAATATACAAAACGGTAAATTACCTTTTAGAACATATAAAAATGATTCTCTGAATAATAATAAAAAACAACTTCGCAATTGGAAAAAAACGCAATTCGAAAAAACAACGACTCAGCGAAAATAATGCTTAGTTCAGTAACGACGCAACTTCGAAAAAACGAAAGGCGAAACGATGCAAGGCGAGGTCCGAGGGTACTTTTTGCATGCATGTTCTAAAGTTTTACCAAAACCAAGAAAACAAAAAAAATAATATAAAAAAATGAAATCATAAATTCAACAATCTTTATTTATTTTAATTTTTATATGTAATTTTGTGAAATTACCTTTATTTATAGTTTGTAACCAAACAATTCTAATGTGAACCTTGTTATTTTTATTTTCTTCTATTCCTTTGCAAAACCCATAAAAAAATATGTGGTAATGGTTTTTTGTGTGCGTCTGTAACGTCCTAATACATCTATTCATCTACAACCATCGACAAATTAATATCTACATGATCATACACATTTGCTTATGGTGTAACAACAAAATAATCGATATTTATTACCGCTGTTGCTGATGTTAAATGCTGATCGTTTGCTACTTACAACAATGTTTTGAAACCCGCTGTGGCATTGGCTCACTCAAATGCTTAACCACCTCCCTCTGTGCGCACTTTTTGCCGATGTGTACTAATCCGTGCATTACTAATATTTTTCCAACCAACGTTCGTTACTCCTATCCCTACTCCCTCCCTTACCCATTCAACATTATCACAAAAACAAAAAACGCATTCCATGACAAATCAATTGCCATTGCTTTTTTCGTACTTTCTTATGACGTTTAACCGATCATCTACGCTTACATCTGCGTTTGTTTCCTGATTGGATGCGTTCAAATCATTCACAAATCATAATAAATAAATAAAATATATTAACAAATTTGTCGAAATTCGTATTGGTTTTTGTAAATACTAAAGTCTAAAGGATTATGGTGTTGCCTCAAACAGATACACCTTCTGCCAAAAATGTTTCAACGACATCCAAGGAGATACTGTTACTCTCGGCGACGATCCGCAACAGTCTCAAACGTAAGTAAATACTTAGAGCCAATTACAAATACACCGAAATATAATGAAACATTTCCATATTAATTGCTTTATTTATATGTTACAAATTTATTTGCGTACCTATTAGGCAAATTCGTAAAGATCAGTTCAGAGAGATGAAAAATGATCATTTAGAGCTTGAGCCGTTTGTAGATTGTCAGGAATGTGGCCGCAAGCAACATCAAATTTGTGTTCTCTGGCTTGACACGATTTGGCCAGGTGGTTTTGTATGTGACAATTGCTTGAAGAAGAAGAATTCCAAAAGAAAGGAGAACAAGTTCAACGCGAAACGTTTGCCCACCACAAAACTTGGGATATATATAGAAACACGTGTGAATAACTTCTTGAAAAAGAAAGAAGCTGGGGCTGGTGAGGTACACATAAGGGTTGTATCCTCCTCTGATAAATGTGTAGAGGTAAAACCGGGCATGCGACGACGATTCGTCGATAATGCAGAAATGTCTTCAGAGTTTCCATATCGGGCGAAAGCTTTATTTGCTTTTGAAGAGGTGGACGGAGTTGACGTTTGTTTCTTTGGCATGCATGTACAAGAATATGGTTCCGAATGTCCACAACCCAATACACGGCGTGTGTACATTGCCTATTTAGATTCGGTACATTTCTTTAAACCTCGCCAGTATCGAACCGCAGTGTATCATGAGATACTGCTGGGTTATATGGATTATGTGAAACAATTAGGTTACACAATGGCACATATTTGGGCATGCCCACCTTCCGAGGGCGACGATTATATATTCCATTGTCATCCGACGGATCAGAAAATACCTAAACCAAAACGTTTGCAGGAATGGTATAAAAAGATGTTAGACAAGGGTATGATTGAACGTACTATACAGGATTACAAAGATATATTGAAACAAGCAATGGAAGACAAATTGACATCAGCGGCAGAGTTACCTTACTTTGAAGGCGACTTCTGGCCGAATGTACTGGAAGAAAGTATCAAAGAGTTAGACCAAGAGGAAGAGGAGAAACGCAAACAGGCCGAAGCAGCAGAAGCTGCAGCAGCAGCCAATGTAAGATTTTTGTTCGGGATTAAATAAATAAATTCTATTACTACATACATATTTTTCGCAGATATTTTCAATTGAAGACAATGAAGTTAGTGGTGATGGAAAGAAAAAGGGCCAGAAGAAAGCAAAGAAATCCAATAAATCCAAAGCTGCGCAGCGTAAAAACAACAAGAAAACCAATGAACAACAGACAGGCAATGACCTCTCTGCCAAGATCTATGCCACAATGGAGAAACACAAGGAGGTGTTCTTTGTGATACGCCTGCATTCGGCACAATCAGCTGCAAGCTTAGCGGTAGGTGTATTCAGTATTCATTGGCTTTTTTCTTACTTGCCCCCACAAGTATGCTGTTTTCATTGCATAGATTGCATTCCGAAGCTTTTCTTATCAGTAACGAACTTTTACTTTAAACAATTTTTTCTTGACTTAACAGCCTATACAAGATCCAGATCCATTATTAGCATGTGATCTGATGGATGGACGAGATGCGTTCCTAACACTGGCTAGAGACAAGCACTTTGAATTTTCATCACTTCGTCGTGCTCAATTTTCTACGCTATGCATGCTGTACGAACTGCACAACCAAGGGCAAGACAAGTTCGTCTATACATGCAACAATTGCAAAAGTGCGGTGGAAACACGATACCACTGCACAGTTTGTGATGTGAGTTTTATTTATTTTTTTTATTTTAAACATCTCGCTTTTTATTATGTTTTACATATTTTGATTCTTTTTTCATACAGGACTTTGATCTCTGCTCTGTGTGCAAGGAGAAAGTTGGCCATCCACATAAAATGGAGAAACTTGGCTTGGACATTGATGATGGCTCATCACCAGCCGATCTCAAACAAGCTAACCCTCAAGAGGCGCGGAAACAATCCATACAACGATGCATTCAGTCACTGGTACACGCATGTCAGTGTCGTGACGCCAATTGTCGTCTGCCTTCGTGTCAAAAGATGAAACGTGTCGTTCAGCATACAAAGAACTGCAAACGCAAAACTAATGGTGGCTGTCCAATTTGCAAACAATTAATTGCGCTTTGCTGCTACCATGCCAAGCACTGCCAGGAACAGAAATGCCCAGTTCCGTTCTGTCCAAATATTAAACACAAGCTCAAACAACAACAATTACAACAAAAGTATGTATTTTTATCTGCACCTATATGGTTAAGACTGATTTTTTATTAACATTCATTTGATATCTTCAAATATAGATTACAACAGCAACAACTATTACGCCGTCGTGTGGCTCTAATGACTCGCACTGTGACTACACCAGCTGCTTTAACAGGTGGCCCAGTCGTTGGAGCTGGTCCAGTTGTAGTGCCTAGCGGGGTTGTTGGACCCGGTGGTGTTGGCGTCGGTGTTGGTGTTGGTGTGGGTGTCCCTAGTGTAAATGTTGGTCAACCTAATATGCCTGGGCAACCAGCTTTAATGGCAGCGAATACTGCTGGTGGAATGAGTCCATCTACAGTGGCTGTACCCTCACCGGTATCGGCCCAGATGAGTGGAGGTATGACTTCACCGCATCCACATCAACCTGGGATTGGAATGAAGCCAGGAGGTGGTCATTCACCTTCACCCACGGTTTTGCAAGTAGTTAAACAGGTCAGCAAAGAATACTATAAAGTGTGGAAAGTTTATCATATCATATTTTATTGATGTCAAGCAATTGATCGGTCTAACAGATATTTCCAATCTTTGTAATGTTTAATAAAATCACTTTGTTAATATGACAGGTCCAAGAGGAAGCTGCGCGCCAACAAGGTGGACCCATGCCGCCTCCAGTAATTCCACGTCACATAGGAGGAATGCCTAATCAGGGCAATCCTGGTGGTAATATGATTGGAAGCAATGTGGGAAATGTTGGCGTTGGTGTTGGCAATGTTGGCGTTGGACAAATGGGACCAGGTGGTGTAAATACTGTTATGGGTAATAATATGCCAATGGATCAATGGGGTGGCGGTAATCGCTATCAGGCAAATGCGAATCCAGGAATGCGACAACCGAACCAAACCCAGGTGCAAATGCAACAGAATACAATGCAGCCGGTAAGTAAAAGGAAAAACATATAATTTTGAATATTGCGAATTAAATTGTCTACATTTTAGAATATGATGGGCATGGTTGGAGCCGGGGGTTCGAATCAAATGCTTGGAGGGCCAGTTGGCAATATGGGAGGTAATGCTGGTGGCACAGGCGTTGGAGGAATGAACAGCCCTGGAGGTGGTATGGGAGGCATGGTCGCTGGCGGCCAGGTTGGTGGTCCCGGTGGTGGCATTCGGCCGCAAGGTGGTCAGCATAATGCACCTGTTGACAGTGGTCAGGGGCTAAATGAAGCTCAACTTGCGCTCATTATGCAGAAGATTAAAAACAATCCGTCGCATGATAACCAACAGATATTGCAAGTCCTGAAACGTAATCCGCGGATAATGGCCGCCATTATTAAACAACGGCAACAGAGCCAACCGAATGCTAGTGGAAGCGGTGGTGGCGGCCCAGCGGGTAATGGACAACAACAACAGCAGCAACAACAACAAGTAATGCAACAAAATCAACAGTTGCAACACATGATGAGCCAACAGCAGCAAATGTCTCAAGCGAATCAGCAACAAGTCGTGATGCAGCCTCAACAACAAGCAGGGCCACCACATCAGCGTATGCCAGGCATGCAAAATCCCATGATGATGCAACAACAGCAGCAAGTGCCTAGCAATATGCAGCAACAAGGACCGGTAAATTCATATTTATTTGCACCAGGTGAATGATAAATTTCAGGAAAATAATTATTTGTTTTGCTTCAACAGATGCCTAACGTGCAATGGTTCAAAGCGCGCCAGATGCCGATGCCCAATTACCCGCCTCCTTATCCTCAGCGTCAACGCGCACCTCCTCAAATGGGAGGTGGCGGCGGACAACAATTTACCGGTGGCAATTTTGGCCCAGGTGGACCAGGTGATCAGTATGCAGTTGCCGCTGCGGCTATGCAACAAGGCCTGAAACCACCCACACCACAACAACAAATGGGTGGTATGCCAGGTGCTGTGACACAGCAGCAGCAACAACAACAGCAGCAAATGATACAAGCAGGTGGTGTGGTGGGAGGATCCGGAGTTGGCATGGTGGGCGGTCCTAATGTAATGGGCCCGCCTACGCCACACACGCTGCAACAGCAACTAATGCAATCAGCAGCGCGCTCTTCACCGCCTATACGTTCACCACAACCTACATCGTCACCACGTTCCGCGCCCTCGCCACGAGCTGGTGGACCATCAGCTTCGCCACGCGCTCAACCATCGCCACATCAAGTAATGAGTCATTCACCAGCGCCAGGTCCACCACATGATGGTGGTCTACATAATCATGTCGGTGGCATGCATGCGCCACATCAATCACCACTGCCAGGTGGTGTATCACAGGACGTAGGCGTAGGCGGTGTGGTTGGTGGTGGAGTTGTCGGTGGTACCGGTCCTGGTCAAGCCGTTGCCGATGCGTCTGATCAATTGACCAAATTTGTGGAACAACTCTAGTGTAGCAATTAACAGTTGCAGGCACCTACTAGCACGTTCAGCAACAAGATGTATCCACGTTATTATTGAGATAAGCCGAAATAGTGCATCTGTACAGGTTAATCAATCATATCTTTATTTTAAATATTTGGTTGAATTGTTTTTTTTTTTTTTACTATTTATGTTTATTTTTTGAGGCATCACAATTGAAGTTATTAATTTCAGTTTTCTTATCTCTAAAAGTTAGGTTTATAATTTATTTGTTTCTTTGAATTATATGCATAGTTAAGAATAGTGTTTAGAACATTCTGAAGGTATGATCAAACGTTCCATCGCATCAAGTTATACCTTATTGTCATAAGCATTTAAAGAGTAATAATATGATTTGCCGAAAGATGCATTAGATGCATGTAAGTAGGACTCAAAATACACATGATCGATCAAAAATAAAGTATGGTTTAGTTACTATAAAAGATAGGCGGTTACTAAAATCCTCTTAATTACAAAACCATTAGTACATACATAGTATATTTAAATACATTTTTTGACAATATTTTCTTGCAATGCTAAAATCGTTTCCAAGAAAAAACGTATATTGGCAGTTGACCGACTAAGCCAAACTTCTCTGCACATTCATCTCTTATATGTTATTTTGAAGGTAACTCCCATTGTGTTCGGCCCTTTGTGCACATTTAGAAATACCTTGAATTTAGGTTTTTTGTGTTTATTTTTGAGTTTACTTGATTTATACTCATCCCTCAAATGCTGTTGAACGAATACATTACCACATGCACACACTGATATATTCTATATATAGAAAGACTTTAATGCAATTTAAATGGTTAATATACCATAAATCATATGTAGATGTATTAAATCTAATATAAGACGAAAAAGTTTATTTTTATCACTTTGAGAAATGTAAAAGAATAAAAGATAAAATAAAAATATAAAAAAATCTTGTATAAAATGAAGAAATGATAGCAAAACAAGTCAAATATTCAACACAATACTAGAAAGTACATGGAAACCTTGTAAATATGTAGTCTTTTAAGTAAATATTATATATGTATAGGTTTTAGTTACTTTTAAAGAAAAGATACAAATATTTACCAATGAAAAGAAGCATAAGCAAGCTCTAATTTGGTAACGTAAATAAAAAATTAACTGGTAGTAATTTGTATATGTGCAAATGTTTTCAATAGCCACACATTCATTGAAATGAACTATTAAAAAGATTTTATATATTAAACGATAAATAACATTTTGCAGAATTAACATACACTGAAATCGATTTGAAAAATGTCCATTATTTTACTGAAATTTGTTAAGAAAATTTCCCACACAGCCTATTGATAATTCATAAAAAAAGAGCTATTAACTTCCAATGTCCACACTTGAAATGAATTACTTCTAGAACATCGTCATCGCTTGTTACCCTTTTTGTGTAGATGTGTATCAATATTTTATATGACATTCAGAAACAATATTAAATGTGCCTTTTCAGTATTTGTACTTTTATGGTAATATTATTGCACATTGTCGGCCACTTAAATGCTAACTTTCATGCAAATTCATATTATTATTATTTTTCATTAAAGACAACCGTAGTTGACAATGAATTGCACCCTTAACACCCAACATTAAGTATGAATCGTTCTTTATAATTTACATTACCAGTGAATTGTGTTTTTATTAGATTCAAATTGATAAAATTCAATAAATAATCATTATTTAAAAGAACGTAAAGAATTCGTTACTTTATATAATTAAATTAAAAGGCGAAGAAAATACAAAGTAACGTTTGAAAACTTACAAATAACGTAATTTATACCATACACAGTATAACTTCAAAATAATTACAATTGCATCTGTGTCTCCGAACATTTCTGCACATTAACAAAGTTCATTGTATCGGCTGTTATCGAACTACATACATCTCATATAAATTTCTATACTATGACTTGATAAAAATAAAGTATACACAGTAATCTAGATTCGTTCGCCTTACACTCATTTAAAGCCGTCACAAAATTCGCACCTGCACCTGCAGTAAATATTACACAATTAACTAACTTTATTACCTTACGTAGTTTAAAACTTTAAGTAACTTTATTTTCTAAAATGTGAACATTGCAAATTTCATAGTTAAATAGTTAGTGGTACTGTACGCATGATTAGTTATATTTTGTGATAGCTTTTTATATTATAATACTTAATTTTAGATTAATTAGTTTTGGGTTGTGTGATAATTCATACACCGAAAAATTTTAGCATTTCAAATAATCTTATATCTCAACACTTATGACATAATACAATACTTTAAACACAAACATAATTTCAAATACCCGTGTACTTTGTATTAATTCTGTGGCTATGAAAAGTACATTGGTGTGTTTATATAGTTATATACAATTATTCGGTTCGACAAAGAAATGATTAACCAGCAGTTGACTTGAAGTCCCCCAATTTTTCAAGTTCAAAAAACGCTGGCGAACAATTTCTTTTCAAACAAAATGAAATTGTGGTTTTGAAATTGATAAATATTTATGTTATTAATAAATATTTCTTACTTTTCGCTAATGTGCTATACACGCATAAAATAAAACATTATTTGAAAGTAATTCAAAACTTAAATGGAACTTCTTTTATAAAACTGCGTATTTTTTTAATTACAATTACAAATACAATATATAAAATGCTTAGTTTAAGTTGTAACTGCAGTCTACACATATTTTATGTTTTGTCCTGCATAGTTTTCGCTTGGATAAGAGTTTGTTGTACGCCCGATAGACCACCGCGCCCGCCAACTAACAGCAAATGAACTATTCATAGCGAAAATTGCACAGTTCGCGAAATAAATTTAAAAAGTTACAAAATAAGTTATAAAGAAAATATGCATTGTATATAAATAGCTAGCTTATAGAGTAGAACAAAAAAAAAAAAAAAAACACAAAAAATAAAAGAAATATAAGTTAATTATTAAAGGTATATCATAATAAAATAGTATGTGTAATTTGTATGTTATTACTTATTCTTGTAATATTTTTAAATGTACATATATACATATTTATCTAGATAGTAAGAATCATTATATAAGTTAATTAATAAGCGCATATTGGAAAATAATAAAAGCACGGAAATTTATTAAAAAATAAAATTGTTGTAAGTATTGATTCCAAAATTTTTGTGATTTGCATACAGATGTATATGTGTAGGTATACGTGTTTCAATGTGTGGGTAGCAAGTAAAGTGAGAATATAGTAAATTTTAGGTAAAATGCCTAACACGCTACATTTAATATATATAAACAAATATTATTTTCTTACAAGTTAGTAGTTTTAAAAGTCATAATGTGGTCTTATTAAAATAATACATTAAAGTTATGACGATCTCTTCATCTCTCCTTTTATTCGTAATTTTTGATATATTAATTTGTAAAACAAAATAATCGTTTTAGAAGATGATAATCAAATAATAACGGCAGTCGTGTTAATCATAATGCTTGCACTTAGCGACTTAGCTACTGAAATGTAAAGAAATATTTTATATTAAATTTTAACATAAACATAATAAATATTATGTTATAAAAATCTGCACTTTTGAATCAAGAAAATCATGAATGATGTACTACGGAAATCGTAACTTTAAGTTTATTTTAATATTTATTAATATTAATTATCGTAAACTCAATATGACAATTACTAAAATATGATTATCTCGCGTAAAACGTAAAACGCCGCGTCTGTAAAATACTAATAACTTACTTGTATATAATTATAGAGCAAACTAACTATATTTTGGTGGATAAATAAATACATATGTATATAGTAAAAAGTAAGCTCATATTACTAGCCTAAAAATGTCGAAAATTTAAAAAAGAAATGTGCCTGCCTAGCACATCGCAACAGAAATAAATACATACATTATGAACGATTTAATTGATATACGCGCATTGCATACAAAAAAACATCGCACATGCTAGAAGCTTAAGTTGCACAGCGGTCTAATAGAAGTTTAAAAGTTAGTAGCTAAACAACGGAAAATCAATATTTGATAAAAAATGTAAATGCTAATTTTTCAATTTGCCACCAGCTAAAAAAAAAAAAAATATATATATATATATATATATAAATAATAAATAAATTGTTTCAGCAGTTGCGCTCAAAACAAAAAAAATAAATAATATTTAAACCACATCTAATTATATTTTATGCATTTCATTTATTGCGGAAATCATATGTATGTGTGCATAGTATTCATTGAAAGAAAATTATAAAAATTTAGGTATTTGTATCAGATCCAAACAAAACTAGCACTTGATTTGAAAATATTCTAAGATTTATTTGTCAATCAATGTAGAGAACTTAATATAAGTGTAATCACTAAGTCCTAGCTTAAATGTATTACAATAAACAGAAAAGTATCATAAGCATTAAATTGACGAAAATCTAAAGCTAAACTGAATATAATATAAATACAAAAACATACATATTACACATAACTGTGGATGAAAGTAAAAATGGCGCGCACGTGTATTGCATAAGGTAAACAGCATTATTTGTATAGTTAAAATTAATGAAAACGGTTTATATAATTATAATTATATACATACATACAATAAATAATAATTATAAAAATTATATACAAATTTAAAATGCGTATATATATAAAGAGAAATTGAATAAAAAATAATTTCAAAATGACAAAATATATTTATTTATTTTTATTACGAATCGGTATCATATTCGGTATCTGGGGGCTTGAAAATGATATACATATATGTTATTGTTGTTGTAGCGGCAGAATTCTGCTGAGTTGACAATCCTTGGCCGGATAAAAATGCGGGTCCGTTCCGGTTACGTAGACCCGACTGTCATGTGAACGGACACATGTACATTTGTGTCTTCATTGATGCTTGATTTTTTTTGCTGTGAAATGAATGTATCAGATGGAACCTAAAATTTTGCTATATGGGAAGTAGACATGATTGTAGTCCGCTTTTGGTTAGTTGAGTAGTTCATGAGATATTAAATTTCACTTAAAAGTGGATGGTGCTATACCCACTCTCCAATTTTTACAAAGAGCCTTATGTAGCCCATACGTACCACCTCGGGTGTAAAAGTTTTATGTTAGGTGATTGGTTTCTTGCCTTTAAAACCTATTTTAATTTGTGAAAAAGGGTTTTTTAAGAACAAGAATTAATGTTTATTTTATTAAATCACATATATAATGTGTATTTACACAAGCATAGTTATAGAAGAAAAAAAGATACGCTCTAAGCTTAAAATAAATGTAAATTAAATGTATGGCAAGTTCAGGAACTAAAAACAACCATGTAAAATATAATATGCAGAACATTAAAATAATAAATGAAAATAACGTTGGAAAAACAAAACGTCTGATCGCATTGATAGTTCACACAGTATTAACACAAAAAGAGAATTTCCCTAAATTTGTTCTGTTTACAATTGCTCCGCACCCAGGTGTTGGACCAACCAGGGTTAATTTTTTAAAGAGCGGCCGAAGGCCGTCAATACTAAAAATGAGTTCTACGTAAAAAAAACCGTCAATGCAGAAAGTAGTTCGACGCAGAAAAACTCTGAACATCCCGTTATTTTACAATTTTTTCTGACTGTATTTTCATTTCTCGGTATTTTAAATGTTGAAATTTTAAATTTCGAGATTTTGATTGTCGACATTATGTTATACACTCAACTGTATATTTGAATTTTGCCGGTATTTTAATGAGTCGGAATTTTGAACTCCTGCATTTTAAGTGTTTCTCCATTTATACATACATATATGGTATACATAACTCCATATATCGATTTTAAATAATTATTAATGGAAATTTGCTATCGTTGCTTCCAAATATCTTGATTTTATCAAATGCATATCTTCTTGTTTCACTGTGTAAATTTGACAGTGGTTTTTTTGCCCTAAATATAAGATCAATTTTGTATATATTTGTGGTTACAATTCATGAAACTATCAACAATTTTGTAAGATTTGTTCTCGATTATTTTTAAATCTTTATTTTCATGTTACATTACAAAAATCAGAAAACATGATACGAAATAACAGATATATTTATAATATCAGTTTAGTTTCGAAAAATAAGGATACATCGAAATTAATTAGAGAGACAAATGTCTAAAAAATATGTTATATCTCAATTAAATGCCTTTTATGAGCTTTTCTTTTATAGTTTTCCAGTTGTCAATCTTCTTTTAGGGATCATCCATCATTTTTAGATCCTAGTGGAACCGCTCTCTCTATTTCTCACTATAATTTCCTCCGAAATTTTATCCAGATAATCTAACCCCACTTCCACTGATTGAACCGATTTCGCGGCATCATAGTTTCTGAGGGCATGCGAACTACTTTTGAAGTGCAAAGAGAAATTTTTATTAAGTAAAACTGAACATTTATTAGGCTGTAGGTTTAGATACCTCCAAGTTTGATTTTTATTAAACCTTAAAACCTTCCGCATAATTTTTCGCATTTTTTCGGTAATGTTACACACACATACATACATATCATTGGTAGAAATTTTTAATAAACATTGAGCAAGTAAGCAAATAAACCCAAATAAGTCTGATAAGTCAGATAATAAATATAAAAATAAAATAATAAATAATCTTAATATAAATAAAGTTCTGTTCGGAGATTATCCATAAGCTGCCAAAAACTATATAAAGAGCTTAAGCCCAAATTGTCTGCCAAAAAAGTTTGCAAACGGAAAAGGGAATCTCATGCAAAAACCGGAAAGAGGAAATAAATCATCCGAGCTGGTTTACACCCGAATTTCCTACGGTAGTTTAAAAATATGAGTACCTATATGACAGCCATAGGGGGAGTAAATTGATTGGACCTTTCTCATCTTTTCTGACCATAAACACTAAATGTAAAAAGTTCAGATTTCATAAAAGAACATTTCTTGAAAAAATTACCATCGTATGTTTTCGTGCTGCATAATTTTCCAGACGAAATTTTTCCAGTGCTAAATCAGTAACGCTAAATAATTTTAACATTAAGTCTTTCCAGTTGGGAATGTTATGAACATTTAATGACAAAACT